GCGAGTTGCCGCTGCCGCTTGGCCTCCTCGGCCAGCGCCCGCAGGCGGGCGGCCTCCTCCGCCAGCTCGCGGAACCGGCCCGCCTCGGCTTCCAGCCTCTGCTTGGACTTCTCGCTGGTGGAGCGTGACTCCTCCTCCGCTCGTGCCTTACTGGCCAACAGCACCTCCATCTCTGCGCGCACCTTGGCCAGCTCTGCCTCCAGCTCCTGGCGCTTCTGTGTGGCCGCAGCTGCCTCGCGCTGCAGCCGTCCCAGCTCCTCCTCCAGCAGCAGCCTTTGCTGCTCGCCCTGCTCTGTCTCAGCCCGCAGACGGATGAGCTCCTGCTCTGCAGCCAGGCGCTGCTGGGCGGTGCCCTCCGCCAGCTGCCGCTGCTTCTCTAGCTCCCGCTCGGCCAGCTCCCGCTGCCGCACTGCCTGCTCCTCTGCCTTGCCCCGCCGCCGGGCCTCACGCTCCGCCTCTTCCTTCTGCTTCTCGGCCTCGGCCTGCGCCAGGCTCTTCTGCTGCGCCACCTCCTCCGCCTGCAGCCGCAGCCGCAGCGCCTCGTTGGCCTTCAGCTGCCAGCGCTCCAGCTCCCGCTCCGCCTCCTCCCGGGCCCGCTCGGCCTCGGCCTGCTGCTGCGCGTGCCGCTCGGCCTCCTCCCGCAGCTGCGTCACGGTGATGTGCTCTTCCTGAAGTGTGCGCTCCAGCTGAGCGGTCTTCTCCGCGAAGGAGGCGCGCTTGCTCTGCAGTTCCGCCGCTGCGCTGCGCTGGGCAGTCTCCAGGGCTACCTGCACCTGGCGGGCTCGCTCGGCCTCCGCCTGCCGAAGACGTCGGTCTGCCTCCTCCGCCTGCAGCTGTAGCTCCTCTAGTGCCTGCAGGGCCCGCTGCTTCTCACGTGCGGCCTCTGCCTCGGCCGTCACGCGCAGGGCCAGCTCCGCCTCCGCCTGCCGCTTGCGCTGGGTCTCATCTTGCACCTGCCGACGCAATCGCTCCGCCTCCTCCTGCGCCTGCCGCTTCTGCGCCTCTGCCTCCTCCGCCCGCGCACGCAGGGCCTGCAGTTCGCCCTCAGCCCCGCTGCGCTGCCGCTCAGTGGTCTCCAGTTGTAAGCGCACCATGCGGATCTCCTCTTCGATGCGCAGCCGGCTGCGTTCAGCCTCCTCTGCCTGCCGGGCCTTGGCCTGGATCTCGGCCTCCGAGCTCTGCCGCAGGTGTTGCAGCTCTTCCTGTATGCTGCGCTTCTGCTGCTGCGCGTCCACCGCCGCCTCTTCCCGCCGCACCACCTCCTCCTGCATGCGCCGCTGGAGCTCCTGCGCTTCCCGCTCTGCCTGTGCCTTTGCTTGTGCGTGTGTCTCCGCCAGCTGCCGCTGCTTCTCCAGCGCAGCCTCCACCTCCGCCAGGCGCTCCCGCTCCTCTGCCCGCTGCTGCTCAGCCAGCCTCTGTGGCCGCGGCAGAGAGAGGGAGAGAACCAGAGAGAGCGGTGAGTGCGGAGCAGCCACCGGGCACGCAGGTGACAGGGCACCACCACAGTCCACTCTGACAGAACGATGGGGGAATCAGGGAGAACGGAGGTCACAGCCCGGCGAAGGAGGGAGCGTGCACCCGCCCAGGGCACTCGGGGCAGCGAGCACAACCTGGCCCCAAAGTGCTCACCAAGCCCGGGAAGGAGGCTCAGGCATCCTTCCCTCTTCCCGCAGACAGGCGACGAGACAGAGAGGGAGAGAGAGAAAGAGCAAAGCAGGAGGCTCGCAGGGCCCCTGAACCATACCACCACGTAGGCCTGCCTGAGCACCATGAACAAACGTGACCTGGATCCCAAGGTGGCCATGGTGCGACAGCAAGTGCAGACCTGAGCCAGCTCAGAAAAGGAACACAAAAGCCTGCAGCTCTGACCACAGGAGAGAATGCAGGTGGGCCACAGGGTAAGGCACCCAGGAGGCAAGAAGAACAGGAAAGCTGGGAACCCCACCCTGCCAAGTCACCTAAGTACACCCTGGCTGGCCCATGGCCTAGCACCCCCAGCTCTTCCACGGAAGTGGCCATGACAGTTGGTGACACGGAATCCTGAGGAGGACCACCAGCGAGAGCCGGGGGACAGCCCCGCTGGGCCAGGGCAAGGAGAGGAGGAAGGGGAAGTGCCGCCACCTTGGGGGAGCAGAGCAGCGCCAGCCAGGGCGGGGCAGGCCGTGCTCGGAGTGGGGCGCTGGAAGCCTCAGGCAGCAGGGAGTGGAGAGCTGAGCTAAGTGGTGACGGGCAAGCTCCCAGAGGCTGCATGTGGGCAGCAGGATGCCCCCCGGGCCATACCTCCTCCTCCTCCATGCGATGCAGAGTCTCACTGATGAACTTGATGTACTGGCTCGTCAGCGTGGTCAGCTCGCTGTAGCGCGTGCGAAGGTCCACGTACTGGGGGCAGGAAGGTGGCAGCCAGGGTCAGCCCTGCGCCAGCCATGGGCCCACGAGCCTCTCCCATCCACGTTCCTCAGCCTTACCTCCTGGATGACGCTCTCAGACCCTGACTGGACCTTGGGCTTCTTGGCCGGAGAGGCCACCGGCTCAAGCTGTGCCTTGTATGTGACCAGCTGGAGCTCATAGTCCTGCAGGGAAACAGTGGTAAGCCACCAGTCTGCCCTACCCGTTCCCTGGCCCGCAGCCAGGACTGCGCTTGGGGCCACCCCTGGGGATTTCAGGCCCCAGGACACCACCCAGCGCAAGGATAGCAAGAGGCAAAAGCCTCACCTTAATGGCGTTGATGTACTGCTTCGCAAATCTCTGGCACTCCTCCACCTTTTCTCCATGGTGCTCAATTTCCTCCAGCAGCGCCTGGGGGGAGTATTGGTCAGCACGATCCATGCCTCCACCCCACCCCCATCCCCATCCCACTCCAGCCACACTGGCCCAGGACTACCTTCTCTTGCCGCAGCTGCTCCCGCACGGCCCGGCTATTGGCCAGAGGCACGGCCTGGATTTGCTCCTGCCGCTGCTTGGCGTCCTGCAACCAGGAGCCGAGCGGGTCTGCACTCTCTCGGTAGTAACGCAGCTGGCGGCCCAGCTGCTCGAGCTCACGCTGCCGCATGTCAGTCTGGGCCAGCACAGCCTGCCAGCGCTCCAACAGCTGGGCCACTCGCTCACGCCAGCGCTCCACCTCCACGTCCCGCTCCCCGTGCCGCTGCTGCAACCGCTCCCCCACCTCCTGCGCCCCGCGCAGTTCGTCCCTCAGGGCATTGAACACAGGCTGCTGTGCCTCCGCCTGGGCCCGCAGCTTCTGTTGGGACCAGAAGGGTGGGTGCTATTTCAGTCCAAGGCCCTGTTGCTGGCCCTTAAGCCCCCTGACCCTCCACAAGGCAATGGCCTGACAGCAGTACCTTGAGTGCAGCCTTGGTGGCCTCGAGCTCTGGGAGGGTGGAGGGCACCGCCTGGGCCTCCTTGAGCTGCTCCTCGTGGACCCTGAGCACCTCCTCAGCCCCCTGCGTGCTTCGGATCACCAGACTGATAGTCTTGAGCCTGGGGGGAGGGCAGGGTTCAGAGCTGGGAGTAGGGGTGGGCTCCGGGTAACAGTAGCCTGATGCTGTTGCTATCAAACCAGAGCCCCAGTGGTCAAAGGGAGAGAATGCTTGGGGACCTCTGGGATACAAGGATGCTTCAGCTGCTGCCTGAGTCCTGGAGGGAAGTTGTGCTGGCCAGAGGAACAGCCAGCTATACCTGTGGCCTGGGAGCTCTCAGCCTTCCAGCCCCAAGGCTGGGTGAGAGAGACACATGTCAGCTTTTGTGGAAAAAAAAATGTGGGTAAGGGGTAGACGTGTTGTCAGCAATATTGTTAGGGACTATGAAATGACATGTCAGAAACAAGGACGTCAGAAACAGGCTTGGTGAGTCGGAGATGGGATGGAGAGGAAGTAGGAGGGAGGAGTTCTCACTCCCCTTCTGAAAGTGATCCTGTGAACCACAGGAAAGTGCATGCTGAAATGGCCATAAGGGACAGAAGAGGTCCCTGGACTGGGTGGGACGAGGCAGGTCCAGTCATCAGGAAGTCCTACTTTTAAGACACAGGGCTGAACCCCTCTATCCATGTGCATGACCCCCACCCTAGTCCACACCCAGCACTTCTCAGCCAGTTCCCTCAAGAGATCCCACCCATCAGCCTGTCCTGCGCCAGAACACGGTGGTCAGGCCCTCCTCTGATGAGCACCCTCCCAGAGTCATGGCTTCGGCCGACAATAGGTGCACTCACTTCTCCAGATAAATGGCGGAGAGGCTGCGAACCTGCTCCAGTTTGCCCAGGGTCAGCTCCAGCTCTGAGCGCAGAGTAGGGGCAGCAGGTGATGGCTCGGGCAGGGCCAGGACCTTCTCAGCCTCCTCAGAGAGTCGAGCAACCCCCTTGCCCAGCCCTTCCACCTCAGCCTGTGCTTTCTGAGGAGACAGTGAGAAGGTAAGCTGAGCATTGAGCCCAGCCACAACACCCGTGGAGGCCCAGGGGACAAGTTGGGGAAGGGGAGGGGACAGCGCCTGCCTGCTGCTCCGCAATACGCTGCGCACACTCCCGCGCAGGCTCCTTGTCCAGTGGCAGCCGCAGGCGGTGCACAGTACGGGTCTCACAGGCCTCTAGCTGCAGCCGGATGTCCTTGAGCTCTGAGATGCATCGCTGACAGCGGGACTCCTCCTGCTCACCTGGGGACACAACCCACTCATATGCTACCCAACACCCCTGCCTGACTCCCGCCCACCCACTCAAGCCTCCAGCCTACCCTGCTCCAGGCTCTGCAGCAGCTGCTGGTAATGGCGGCTGCATGAGCTGTATTCACGCTCGGCCTGCAGCCGGTCCTCAGGCCCGAAGCTGCCGGCGTCCTGGCTGTCCCGCAGGAAGGCCTGGTAGTGTAGCTCCAGGTTGCGCAGGGCCTGGCGCTGCTCCTCTGGCTTCAGTGTGCGGAACTGCGGGTGCACAGGAGGCTGAGCACGCAGGGCAGGCTGAACGCAGGAGGCCACCACCACACCCCCTGTGGCCCCGTCCTACCGTGACCAGGGACCAGGAGCGGATGAGTTGCGTGTCACGGCTGAGGCTCTGCCATGCCAGAAGGCTCTTCATGTCCACATGCAGCTGGTGCCACAGCGAAACCAGGGCCTGGTGCTGGGCCTCTAGCCTGGCAGATCAGGGGCTCAGTCAGAGATGCCCGGCACCCAACCCTGCCACCCACTCCAGCGGAAAGACCCCAGGCCACCCACCTGGTGACAGCTTCCTGGGCCTCTGGGTTGGGCGGGGGCACAAGGAAGCACACAGAGGGCACGGTGGCCTCGCTACCACAGCTGCTGACCACCTTCCAATGGAATGGCTGCACAGGGCCCACCAGCTGGCACTCATCACCCTTGTGCATGGTCACCTGGGATAGCCAGAGCTGTCAGTGTGGCCATATCCCCACCCACCCAGCCACGCCCCACCCAGCCATGCCCCTCCATGTGCAAGCCCTGCCATCCACCAGCTCACCTCCACCTGCTTGTAGTCACACACAGCCAGCAGTGGCACATGGCCCCGCACGGGTTGGGCTGGATTACGGGGCTTCAGCTGCACAATGGCTCTGGCCCGCTTGGCAAGGCCTGAGAGGTGCCCCCTATACTCATTCAGCTGGTCTTTCTCGTCCTGCAGGGAAGGGGCAGCTCAGAGACCAGCATCCAGCACCCAGGCATGTGCCTGGGCGACGGTCTGAGAAGACCCACATGCCCACCTCCTGCAATGAACCACACACTGGGCACCCCCACCCTGAGATCAGGGGTCCTTCCCACTGCTCCGCTATAGGGAATGGGCACTTGGAAGTAGGACACATGACCAAGGCAGGTCCCCAGGGCTTGACCTCCAATGGCTCCCACTGACTTGCCTTCCTTCCTGGTCAGGACTGAGTGCCTTCCCTGTCCCAGGTCCTCCAGGGGACAGACCCCAGCTGCACTCTGGTCCCAAAACACCTTGTCCCCTCTACCCTCCCAGTTCACCCACTTCTCCATATTCAGCTCTCCAAGGGGCCAAACCCACCAAGGACTGACTCAGGGTGTGGGTCAAAAGTTCATCGTGAAACTGCCTGCACCTCTCATGGCCAGTGCAGCTGAGGGGGCCTCCTGGACCCCCCAGCCTTCGCTGACCCTCACTCCTGAGCACAGGAACCCCAGCCAACAGAGCCTCTGTCTTTCTCCTCGATCACTTCCCCCAGCACTTCCAGAAGCCTGGGGCCCCTCCTGGGTGCCCCAAATCTGCCCCAGGGCATGCCACCTCTGCCCTCTTCAGTCCTTCACTGTACCTGCCCCAGACATCAGGCCCAAGAACCCATAGACCAGGAAAGGGCTGAGACAAAGCAGCTGACCTGGGGCTCTTAGGGGGAAGGGTACCAGCTCTGGCCAGAGATGTGGTACCACTGTGAACCCTGCCCCAGTCTCTCAGTCCCCCACACCCATCCAACTGTGCTGATGCCCCCGCTCTTCACCTCCAGAGGGGCCTTTCCAAGCACCAGTGCTGCCCAGATGCCACCACCTCTCCCGGACCCCCCCCACTCCACTATCTGACCTACCCCGACTCCACCCTCACACCTGTGCAGCCAGTTCACCTGGGCATCCTGCAGCAGGTCCTCAAGGCGAGTGACAGTGATGGAGCGGTCACAGGTGTACTTCCTGCGCAGTGTTTCCTGCAGCTTCCTCAGCTGCTGCTCAGCCTCCCGCACATCTGAGAAGAACTGCACAGCAAGAAGGGGATAAGGCTATGCTGAGGGGCTGGGAATGAGCAAGGCAGGACAGGGTGCGCGGGCACAGGGAGGGGCGGCACACCCCTAGTGGTGGTCTAGGGGCTCCTCGGGGGCCCTACCCCTGAGCGGGTATGGGTGGTCTCACCTGGAAGTAGGCAGTGTTCTCCTTCAGGTGAGCCTCAACACAGCAACACAGCTGTAGCATCCAGCTCCACTGGGTCTGCAAGGCCGCCTGGAAGGACTGCAGCACCATGGTCCCTGTTAGTTTCCAACCTCACAGCCTCCAGCCCCCTCAGGCCCCAGTCCCCACAGGCCCCAGTGCCCACAGCCACCACCTCCACTGTGGGCCGCGCAGGGTGGTCCTCCCGCAGCAGCCGGTCCCCAGTGTTCTGGATCTCCTTGATTTTCTTTTCCTTCAGCTCCAACTCACGCATCAGTGCCTGGCACAAGGGCGGCAGGTCTCAGGGGTGGTGTCGGGCCATGCCCGGGTCTGCCAGTCTCCCGCCAAGGGCCACCTAAACCCCCTGTACGGCCTGCAGCTGGGCCTGACCCCCACCACTGCAGGCTGCCAGCCTGGGGATGCACCGTGGGAGGGTGCGGGCGCCTCACCGAGTAGCTCTCCTTCTTGGCGGCCATGTTGGCGTTGCGCTCACTCCAGTCAAAGCCGACCTCCTCCTCCTCCTTCCCACTCAGCCACAGCAGCTCCTTGGTGGCGGCGGCCACAAAGCCATGCAGGCTCTCCAGGGACCGCAGGCGGGCCTTGGAAGAGTTCTAGGGCAAGCAGGCACGTCAGCAG